AGGGGTGAATTTTTAAAAATTGATTCGACACATTTTGGCGTTAGTGATATATCTGAAGAAAATTTTGGAATGTAACATAAATCTGTAACAGGAGGGTCACAGTGTTGTAGACCTATTCCTGAAATGATCCTATGTTCATTATTTATTTTATTTACCGCTACGTATGTTTTTTCGGAATATATAATACACGTTGAATTATTTGATTTAAAATGGGCAGGGATGTATTGAAAAAGTTTCCAATTGGTTTTTATTTCTCGGATCGGTATTTTTATTTTTACTAAAATCTCTGTTTTAGAAAATTGACATTCTGTTATTGGGATGTTGTAGTATGAAGAAATGTCGTCTGTTGAGATGGCTAATTCATATCCGTCCTTTTTTAATATTTTTGTTAATTTTTTGTAAATCGTCATATAGTATGTTTACGTTAATGAGTCTTGGAGGAATTTTCCCTATTTTGCAGTGTAAGTGTGTACTTGATTCCCTTTCATAATTTATGAATTTTATTAACATTGTAATTACATAAAAAATGATTTCTTGTACCCCTTTTATCTCTTTGTCTATTTTTGCATTTTCTAACAAACCGTTATCCCTTTCTTCTTCGTAAAATTGTTCCAAGCTTTTCTTTAGAATCTCTAATTTACCCGCCGTTATTGTTGTGTAGTTGTTAAGTTGGGTTGTAATAGTATTTAGATCTTTATGATCTGATACGAAAACATCTCTAAGTCTATCGGCTTGTTCCTTTAATTTTTCTTCGTTAGTGTAAAAATGTTTTATTTGTTTTTCTGTAGCTATATTGCAACAGAAATTGTAAAAATCCCCTATGAATTGTATTCCCCTTCTTGTTCTATAGTTTTTGATTTTATTGTTACTTATTTCTTCTAGTTTTTCCATGTTTTTTTTATTTTTGTCTATGTTAGAGTTTATCAATGAAGAGTGTTTATCAATGAAGAACATTGTTTTAGAGTATGACAGTAAGTTGTGTTTTTGTTTTTACAATATTTTTCTACTTCCAATAAGTTATTTGAAAAGTTGGATTCTTCTGTTATTGTCTTTTGAGTATATATTAAAGGGATGCTCTTATCATAGGTAATCGCTTCCTTGATTTCATTGAAAAAATGCCCCTGATGATACAGTGATACTCAGTGGCTCCATTGGACTACATGTTCTCAGGATGAACATACATATTATTGTGTACTGAAACATATTCTAAAACACAATATGATTATAAAAAAAAGGTGTTGTTACGCTCTTATTATTATTTAGTTATTATGTTATGCTATAATTATTGTTAGTTCTTACTTATATTATTATTTATTTTTTTTTATTTACAGTTAGTTTTTATTTAGTTAGTTAGAGAATGGTTTTAATCTTTGAACATGTATAATATCTGTGGTTTGTTTTCCATTCAATATTAATTCTATTTTGTAATTTACATCCGATATTTTCTCTACTACTTTAAATGGTCCTCTGTACTTATGAGCTAATTTTTTTGTTTTATTTGGCTCCTGAAAATGAAATTTTACTAATACCTGTTGACCTGGTTCAAAAGTAATTGTTCTATGGGTTTTGTCATAATCAAGTTTTTGTTTTTCCTGTTCTTTTTTTATTATTTCTGGTATTTCTTTACGAATTTTTTGTAGTTTTCTTAACGAATCGTTAATTTTGAAATTATCACTAGTTGGTATAATTTTATTATCTATTGGTTGGTTTGCTTCCATACCGTGTAGTAAATAAAAAGGACTAACTTTAAGTCTAGAACTTGGACATGTATTATATGCAAATACAATCATTTTGTAATAGAGTACCCAATCTTTTTGATTTTTATGAACATAATGTGTAAGACTATTACATATTATTTTATTCATTAGTTCGGTCATACCGTTTGTTTGTGGGTGGTAAGCACTTGAGAATACTTGTGTAATACCTAAAAGTTTACATGTTTCTTCTACTTCTTTATTTTTAAAGTGAGTGCCTCTATCACTACAAAAATATTTGGGAACTCCATATGATGTTATCAATTCCATTAAAAATTTTATTGTTTCTGCCCCAGTTGCGTTTGCAACGGCTTTTGCAAAAGCCATTTTTTGTTGCATTGCATGTTGCTACTATTAAGTATTTTTTTCCATGAGATGGAGGAAGTGGTCCAAGATAGTCAAAGGTTAACCGTTGTAATGGTTTGCCTGAATCTATTGGTATCGGCTGTAATAATCCTGGAGTTTTTCCTATCGGATTTTTTACTAATTGACACGAAACACAAGAGTTAATAAATTTTGTAGTGTCCTTGATCATATTATTCCAATGGTATTTTAATTTAAGTTTTGCAAGTGTTTTTGTAATACCGAAATGTCCGCTAAATATTGATTCATGATAGGCTTTTAAAATAGTATTAATTAAATTTTTTGGGATTACTATAAGTTTGATCAGTTCATTTTTATTCCATTGTTTATAATAAAGTACGTTATCTATCACACAGTATCTTCGTGATTTTTTTTTATATTTGTCACTGCCTATATTTTTAAGACCTATTAAAATATTTGAACAGAATTCGTCTTTAGACTGTTCAGTTTTTAAAATTTCTATAGACATTTCTTTTTCATTATTATCAATTTTTCCTATTTCTGTTAGGTGTATGGGAAATCTAGATAAGCTATCTGCTGCTAAGTTAGCTGAGCCTGGTTTATGTTTAATTACAAAATCATATTCAATTAATTTAAAAATACTTTTTGTTATCCTAGAAGATGGATTTTTCATGTTTTTAAAATATTGTAAACTAGAATGGTCACTAAAAACTGTGAATGTTCTGCCTAACAAGTATTCTCTAAAATAATTTATTACAAATACTACAGCTGCCATTTCTAATTCTGTAGTTGAACAATTTTTTTCCCCTCCTTTTAATTTTCTTGACGTATATCCTATAGGGTGTTTTTTTCCGTTTTCGTCTTCTTGTTCTAAAATGCCTCCTAGTCCTTCTAATGATGCATCAGTAGTAATAAAAATTTCTCTCCCGTCTTTAAAATGTGCTAATACCGGAGCCGAAGTAATGGCTTGTTTTAAATACTCAAAAGCGTGTTCTTGTTCTTTTTCCCATTTAAATCCTACATCTTTTTTTGTGATTTCTATGAGTGGGTTAGCTATTTTTGAAAAATTTTTAATATATTTCCTATAATATGAACAGAGTCCAATAAATGCTCTAACGTCCTTGATTTTTATTGGTTTTGGAAATAATTTTACGGCTTCTATATTTCGTTCTAATGGTTTTAAACCGTTTTTTGATATTTTTTGTCCTAACAATTCTATTTCTGATTGAAAAAAATGACATTTATTAGTTTTTAATTTTAAACCTATTTCATTTAGTCTAATAAACATTTGTTCTAAATTATGTAATGCTTTTTCGAATTCGTCAGCAAAACAACATATATCATCTAAATATGCTACAATAGACCTATATAAATATTCGCTAAAAGTTTGATTGATAATTCTTTGAAAAATAGGCGCTGAATTTTTCCAGCCTTGTGGTATCCGTTTAAATTGAAATAACCCGAAATCTGTTGTAAAAGCTAATTTTGAGCGGTCTTCTTGTTTTACTGGAATTTGGAAATAGCCTTGTGCCATGTCTATTGTGGAAAAATATTTTGCTCCTTCTAACGCTCTAAATATATCTTGGGCGCGTGGTATTGGATGTCTATCACTTATTGTTTGTTCATTGAGTTTCCTAAAGTCTACCAAAAAACGATATTCTCCCTTTTGTTTTTTTGGTATAAGAAAAACTGGCGCTGCATAATTACTTTTGCTAGGCTCTATTATATCGGCTCTAATCATTTCGTCAGTTAAAAGTCTAAGTTTTTCTCTTTGCGCGGGTGAAACTCTATAAGGTGCCTGAAATATCGGATTTTCCGAACTTAATTTTACTTCACATTCTTCTACCTTTGCACAATTTAAATCAAGTTGATCAGAAGTAAATAAATGTTTATATTTGGATATTAAAATCAATGCTTTTGCCTTTTGTTCTTTTGTTAAATCGTTTGATATTTGTATTACTGTCCCTTGTTTATCGGTTATTTCATTTGGTAATTTATTTATTGTAAAGACGTTAGTATTTTGTTGTATTTCACCTATTACCGTGCCTTCATATATTTTTGTGTATAAATTTGAAAAATTGTAAATTGGAATAGTTGTTTCATTTTTCTTTAAAATATTTGTTTCTAATTTTAAATAATGTTTTTGACTTAAGCGATTCACTGGATTTATAATCATTTGTTTATTGTCTATTTTTATATCCGTTTTAATTTGTATATTAGTTATTACTTTCGGTGGAATTAAAATATCTTGAGTTACTATAATTTTTCCTACTATATTTTCTCTTTCTTTTTCTTTTTCTATGTTAGTTACCCCATTGTATTCAACCCATATTTTGTCCATTTTAATACTATCTCCCGTTTTAAAATTTATTGTTTTGTTATCAAAGTCTATAACTAAATTATATTTCAAACAAAAATTATTACCTAATAAAAATTCGCATGTTAAACCTTTGATTACGTAAGCATTAATTTCGTATTCCGTTTCTAATATGTTTATTTTTAGTTGTGTCGTACCCATATTTTCTAGAATAGAGTTGTCAGCTCCTGTAATAGTTGTTTGTTTTTCTGGTGTTATTAAATTTTTATTTTTTATGAAAGAATACTCAATACAAGATATATTTGAACCTGTGTCTATTATTGCTTGTTTTTTTTTATTTTGAAATTGTATTTCTATGGATAAAACCTGGTTTTTCTTTTTAATGTTATCTAATTTTGTTAATAATTCATTTTTATTTTGTCCGAAGTTGTTTTCAAGTTCTTTTTTATATTGGTTAATTTTTTCTATGTGACCTATTTGTATATTATCATACCAGTTTTTTACAAAAAGTATATGTTGTTCTTTTTCTTTTTTTGCTATTTCAGTAAACTGTTTTTTTTCTTCCCGAGTTTGTTGTCCGATTTTTGCTTCAAACCCGGTCTCTCTTAGTTTTTTACATTATCACACTGTGTAGCATAGTGTCCTCTTCTCTCACATTTATAACACGTTATATTTTCCATTTCACCTCTCATTTCTTTTTGTTTATCTTTATTTCTATATTGTTCCGGTGTCCTTGATCTGCTTTGTCTATCTCGACTATCTTGTATCTTATAATTATCTCTTTGTGATTCTCTAGTGTAACTTTGTTCACGTGAGTCTGGTCTCTCTCTTGAATATGATCTATCTCTATTTCTACGCTGATTATCTCTCGAAAAAGATCGGTTTCTATTATATCTTCTTGAATCCCTGCTTGATTCTCGCGATCTTCCTGGGTATGGACTTTTGTATCTATATTCTGGTTTCCTATAGTAATCTTTATTTCTATTATAATCACGGCCTCTTGTCTCATTATTTCTATAATATCTCTTGTTTTCATAATCGTCATAATATCTATTTTCTCTAAAATCTACAGATCTATTTGTATTCTTTCCCAGCATATTCATTCTTTTGACTTCTTCCGTAAGTTGTTCTATTTTTAATAATAAGTTTTCAGTGTGTTCCTCGTTCTTTTTTATTTCTTTATTTTTATGAAACTCTTGTAATTTAGTCACTTGTAAATTCAGTAAGTCAGTGTAATTGTTAATTGTCGGGCCTCTGTTATTAATTCTATGTTGCATAAGTTCGTATTTTTTTAGATTTTCTTTTAATTTTTTTAAAGTTGTATTATCTTGCATAGAAATTGTATGTAAAATATTCTCTTTTAGTCCTTTTAAAATGTAAATGCATATATCCTCTTCTTTCATGTGAGTTTCAATTTGTCTGCACAAACTTTCGATCTCAGCCATGAAACTTGTTGCCGACTCTGATTCTCCCTGTCTCCTATTTTCTAAATTTGTCTTTAAAATGGTAGTGTAATCAATAGGTAGATATTGATCAATAAACGCATCCTCTATCTCTTTCCATGTCCAATTTGTTTTTAAATTATTTAAATTGTCTAAGAAATTGCTCGCAGTTCCTTTTACAAACATTGGTAAAAATTTTAGTTTATCTTTTTCGTCCCAGTTATTAAAGTCAGTTATCATAGAATATTGTTTTAAGAATTTCTTTACATCCTCATTGCCTGTAAAATAGTCGGGTGTCATTTGTAAATTTCTTTTTCTGTCGGTCATGTTTTGTAAAATTTTTAACTCGTTAGATGATTGTTTTTTTTTATTTTTATCGTCGAATGACACTTCTTTATTTTTTTTTGTTGTCAGAAGTAATATGATTTTCACAAGTATTATTGCTAATTTTTAAAGTATTTAAATTGTTTTCTTTTTCTGAATTTTCTGGGATAATATTCTTATCTTTGTTATAGAAACTTTTATTTAAAATGTTAAACCTATCGAAATTGTCACTACGGTTTCCTTCTGTGTTTTGTTCGCTAAAATTTAATAATTCATATGTGTTGTCAGAGTTATTTATGTATTGATTTTCACCGTTATTTATAATTTTTTCGATTGTATTAGTTATGTCCTGAGCTTTGGTATTGATATTTTCATATAATTGTTTTGATTTCTCTACTTCCTCTTTCGTTTTTAAGTTATAATAGTTGTTATCTTCCTCTGAATTTTCCTCAAGCTCAATACCTTCTGTTTTGATTCTATTTTCCACTGAGATATTAATTACAGCCTGTTTTTCTCTTTCTGTTAAAGTTTCTCTAATATCGTCAAGTTCTATGTTACCTTTAAAATATTTTGATAAACGAGCTCTTAATTCTCGAACTGTTCCAGTTGATTTTAAATTTTGTGATATACAAATGTCAATTAACTCAGGTTTTTTTTTATTGTAAATCTCTGTTAACGTTGTTATTGAAAATTCTAAGATGTTATTTTTGCTCATGTCCTTTAAAATTAAATTTTTTTTTTTTTTTTTTTTTTATTCGAAAAAATTTTACAGTATGAAGAAGTTTTGGAATTATTTTTCTAGTATAATGGATACTCTAATATATTTTAAAAAAAATATTATGTGTGCAACAACACTCAAAAAAAAAAAATTTACTTTGAAGTAAAATTGAGTATACTTACCCCTGTTGATGTTCTCGATATCGCTCTGAACGATGTTGCTGTCGAGATTGACCGCGTTCTGGATTCAGGGAACTTCCTCTGCTTTCCGTCCAATGCTTCAATAATGTCGTTGAATTTGACTGTGTTAGAAGAAGAAAACGTTCTTCCTGGCTTGTTGTCGAAAATCAACTTCGAAAAAAA